CCCTCTCACCGCCCGGCCGGGGGTCTCACGGCACCCGCCGGGCCGCTGCCGGGGGCGGCCGCCGAGCGACAGGAGGCAGAAACGCAGAGCGCTGCGGGACTCGCTGCCCCGCCCGGGGGCTCCTCTCTTCGCGCTGCCACGACCGCGCCGCCCCGCCYCGCCTCGCTCGTCGCCCGCAGCGCAACGCATGTGCTCCGCGCCCCGCGGCACGCGTGCGGCCGGGTCCTAGCGAGCTGCGGGCGGAGCCGGGGCGCAGCTCCGCCGGGAGCGCCGCGGGGGCGGCGGGCTCCCGGCGAGGCTGAGGGGGCGGCGAGCGCGGCCGCCCATGAGCGCGCCAGGCGGGGGGCGAGCGGGCGGCGAGATGGAGAGATGGAGCCCGCAGCACCGCGCGGCGTAAAATGGCTGATCGCCCCCAGCCGCCCGCTCCGCACCCCCTCGGCCGCTGGCGAGAGGGGACCCCGGCGCTGCCCGCGCCCGTAGCGAGGCGGCTCCGCAGCCTGCGAGCAGCCCCGGGGCGGCGGGGAAGCGCTGCGGGCAGCCCCGGGGCCGCGCAGCCTTACGTAACGCGCGGGGGGGAGCCGCCGGGAACCATTTTACACCTGCCGGAGGGCTGGGGGGGCGCACGGAGACCCCGCACCCCGTTTCCCGGAGCCGGGCGCTCCCACACCTGCGCGGCGGCGGGGCGGGTCCCGGACACCGCAGCCCGCACACACCCCCCGCACACACCGAGCTGTACCCCGCACACATCCGCACCCCGCACACACACACGTACCCCGCACACCCCCGAACACACACACACACACCCGCCGCGCCGCTCGCAGCCGCCCCGCCCCCGCCGCCACGGCAGGCTGGCAGCGCCCGCTACTCACAGGCGTTGGTGACGGCGAAGCTGTTGGCCACCTCCAGGTTGTCGATGTGGGGAGTCAGCCTGAACTCCGAGGTGGAAAACTGAACCATCCCTACCCGAAACGCGCTGTACTCCTGATCGGCGCCCCTCGGGAATAGCCCCCCTGCAGGGAAACACACACGCGTCAGGCGGGCGCGGGCACCGGCGGAGCGGAGCCGGGGCCAGCTCTGTGCCCGCCGCGGGGCCGGGCTGGGCGCGGGGGCCGGTGGGCGCTGCTGCCGGAGCGCTCCCGTCCGCGGCTCCGTCCCGCGTCGGGGGACGCGGGGGCCGGGCGGTGTGGCCGGGGAAGAGGCGAGGGGATCTCGCTGGCGCCTGGCGGGCACCGCGGGGGGACTGGGCGCGCRGCGACATGACAGGAATGCCCGAGTGACACCGGCGGGGATGAGGGATCGGGAGACCCGCCGGGAGGAGAGCGGGGTTCCCCAAATGCGGGCACCTACCGATCTGTATGCTGTTAGAATTGACCCCCCAGATCAGTCCCCACAACACAGGAGCCAGGAAGACAGAAATATGCATAATCTTTTGCATTTCCAGGAAAAGTAGAGCATCCACAAAGCCACGGAAACAGCCCTTTCTTCTTCCTCCTCCTYCTCCTCCTTCTCCTCCGCGGAGCGCGCTCTTCAGCAAATTAGATCCCGTGCGCTCCGGGCGAGCGGCCGGCGGGAGMAAGCGAGCCACGGGAGGGAAGGAAYGARAAGAGCCCCGCGGCGGGCGCGGGAGAAGCCGCTGTCCGAGCTGCTGCCGCCGCCGCTGCGGTGCTGCCCGCGGCCCCGGCGATGAGCGGGATGGGGGTGCTGGGGACGCTGGGGGTGCTGGGGGTGCCGGCGCTGCCCGCTGCGCTCCCGCCGCCCGGCCCGGCCCTGCCCTCGCACACGCTCTCCGCGCTCCTCGCACTCCACGGGCCGGCGGCGCTCCCGGCGAGGCGGCGGCGGCGGCGCCTGCGCGGAACCGGCCCGGGCGGGAGCGCGCCCGCCGCGCCCCCTCCGCGCCGCGCCCCGCCCCTCCGCGCTCCCGCCTGCCTTCAGCACCGCGGACAGCGGCCCCGCTCTGCCCGGCATTATTTATTTATATCTTTGGTGGGTCCTTTATTTAATTATTTATTTATTTCACCGGCCTTACCCAGGACGGAGCCACCTCGCAAATGCGCCTTAAAAGCAATTTTTTTTTTTATTATTATTTTTGGTTTTAGCTGCTGTACCCGAACCGTGGAAGTTAATATGTAGGAAGGGTTAAGGCTATCCCGATRTTTCATTTTCATGCATAACGGGGACGTTTTTCTTTCCAAGATGGGTTCCAGCTGTATTAGCTAGACATGCTATTTACTGCAAGCTAAATTTAACATTTCTCAGTTTGGCACGAAGTCTGTTGCTGTGCACCGCACATACACACACACATTTAATAGAAGAAAATGCAGTGTAGCATTCCTGTGACCGTGACAGTGAATTTGCTATTAAGTGATCATTCTCTGGAATATTTTTTGTAAATTTGTATTTGGTATCCATGATGACAAATATCCACATAGGAAAGGATACTGATCTTGCATTGGCTTTCCCTTTTTTTCTTTTTTACTATTATTATTATTAAATTGTTTTAATTCTCCTTTCCAGAAGGAGGGTGTCAAAGCTTCAGATATTCAGATGTCAGTATGAGTACATATCCTGAACACATAGGAAGTAGACAATTAGAGGCCCTTTTCTCATCACTAATTCATGATGAGTTTTGTTTCATTTGAGTCATTTCACTAGGAAATTCTGTACAAGCTTCTGTCTGTACTTCTCTCATCTTTTCTCTCTCACCCACAAAATGCGATGAGCCTGAAAAAGACAGCAATCTKTAACTTCCTGAGCATGTAGCTCCTGTGGGCTTATCTGGGTAGAATGGCAGGGTTGCTACAGCCCTTTCTTCCTCTCTTCCCCTAGCCTGGTCTCTCCCAGAAGTCACATTTTGCATTCCATGATAAAACCTACTGCTGAATGCTATGGAAGGGCCAGGCAGCACAACTGTGACAATCAACAGATTAAGCTGTCAGAGGAAAGCTTGCATTCAGGTAGCCCCCACTGTGTCCCGGACAATGGATGTGCAGACATTTACTTTTAATAAATATCTCAGTTTAATGCTGCCTATCTTTAACAGAAGCATAGACAAATTGTTTGCTTTTTTTTTTTTTTAACCGAGATCTAAAGCATCCCCTTATGTATAACAAACGAGGCTAAAATTAAGCAAAGATCTCAGTTTGAAGATTGTATTTTAATATGTTATAATAAAAAAAAATCTTATCTGCCAATATACGTTATAGCTGCATAATGAACTAAAATATAAAAAAAGATTTGAGTGATGTAAGACATAAAAATTAAATCTAGAAGAATCCTACTGTTTTGATTAGATGTCTTTACAGTTATGGAAAGGATTGAAATCTTTAAACTATTGTTTCTTGG